AGCTCTGGAAAGAGTAGAGGAAATGATTTCTTGTAGAGAGAGGGAATTGCCTCTGCATGAGGCAATGGTGAGCTTTTTTTCTGGTTCATGAGAAGTAAATTTAGGGTAAATAAGGACAGAGAGAGAGCTACTACACTTTTGGGAAATTCTCCTGTTTTCATAGGGTAAATGAACAGCCTGTTTTGGTAGAAGGAAGACATGGCTTATTTAGCTTGGTAAAATGAAGACAAAAGAGATAGTTTCTCTCTCTGTATGTATTAAGAATAAGCAGGAGCTAAAAGTGCTGTTTGAAATGGTGTAAGAATGACTGGGTATAAAGGTACTATAAGTAAATCTCCCAAAGATGAGAAGATGAGGATGCCCAGCCATCCCTTTTGCTTCAGTACGTGTGACTCCCAAGGGGATGCAGCAGGATGGAGCTGTCTGCAGCATGGCCATGTCCAGGTGGATGGACTGGGAGAGGAGTGGGCAGTGGGTGCTGAAAAAGGCAGGGCACTGGTGTCACGGGAAGTGAAACTGCAGCTCAGGGGTGGCCATAAAACAGCTGGGGTGTGTGGTCACCATGCTGGGACCCCAGAGCAAGGGCATGGGTGAAGAAGAATCATGAAAACTAAGCAGTTCTAGAGACAAGGCAGTGAAGGTTAAAGACGAAGATAGATTAGCACTGGTGGAGACTGGAAACAAACTGTTACCACCAGTGAAGTATCACTTCTTGCTGCTTCTGTGGTTTCTGTGCAGGTTTTTAGGGAGAAATGCTGCTGACTTGCAGAAATATGGAGGATGTAACAGAACTGAGAAACCTCCTGCTTTACAACTCACTGTTTTTCTTGAATGAATTCCTCATTCCTCTCTCTAATTTAGCCTTCCTGTATTTTAATTGCAGCATGCTTGATAAAACTAATGTGGTCTGAAGCTGAGGCATTCCCCGATTGTAATTGATTACAGACGGGGAGCTTACCTTCCTCCTGGGTTGGTCTCTGAAATATTTTCTTAGTCTTAAAATACTCTACTTGGCTTTTCTCGAAGCGACAGATGATGCTTTGTGCTTCCTTGTGGAACTGTCAAGACAAAAAGGACAGGTGGTTTGGGGCTGCTGCATTTGCATAACCCTGAAAGGTGGCTTTAACTGATGATAAATTTTCATCTAATAACTGTGACCAAGCACTCAGACCCACTGCTGCCTCCCTGGGACAAATAGCTGTAACAGTGCATGTGCTTGCAGGGCAGCTCTCCTCCTGCTGCTCCTCTCCCACTGCTCAGAGGGAGAGACCCAAAGCAAAGGAAATCCTAGCCTGATCCCCAGAGGGTTCTGGAGCCTCCTGGGACATTCCTTTTGGAACTCCCAGAAGTTCATTACTCTGGCCATTGGCTCAGGCAAGAAGTCCATTTGTTTGCATCAGTGTAAGCCGTACCGGATACCTGCTTGATATGAGTGGCAGAGCAGGGAGAGGACAGAGCCAGTCTGGCAGGTTGCAGGAACAGCAGTGGTGGTGATGTGCAGGGACAAGAATGTGGAGGTGGCAGTGAATGCTCTGAGCTGCCCTATCACTGTCTTGGAGGTGCAGGTTGACAACAAAAGAGATGGAGTTTTCTGCTTGTGATGCTGAGGTGTAGCTCCAGGACTTGGGGCAGGAGGTTTGTGAATGTGAACAATCCCACATATAAGCATAGGAAATGAGGCAGTAATGGTTCGATGGGCACAGGAAGAGAGTGTCAAAGCAGTCAGGAGGGACAGTGAGCCAGCACAGCCAAAGCACATCCAGCATCCGAGGGTGGGAAGAGGCTTCTTTGAAGTAGTAGCAGAAATAAGCCATCCGTACTACAGCTGCTTCATGTAGTCATCCTCCAGGCATGGATCCTGCTCACAGTCCTCTGCTTAAAATGTCCAAATGAGCACTCTGACAGTGCAACCCTGTCTGTGGAGACATGGTTAGACAGAGTGTTGCCTCTTTCTTGTCTGCAACTCAGGCGATTGCATCAGTTGAAAGATTTCCAGGACAACTGCAAACCTGGCTACACAGAGCACCTTGGCTTACCCAGCGAGGGATGGCAAAAGAGAGCTTCCCCTTCCAACAGCTGTAACATGGTCCTGGCCCCAAAGCAAACCTGAGCCCACTAAGGCTTGGCTTTTCCTGAGACCTTGCAGCCACCTCCTGCCTGCTGGACCCTGCTGGTGGTGTGTGGTACCCAGGGTGCTATTTAGGGTGTATGCGCCCTGAAGCCTGCTGGGTTTTAGTGTGTATTTTGTTGCCTTTTGCTGTTGGGGCAACAGGACTGAGGTCCCTGCCTTTCTGTTGGTTTTGAGAAAACTGCTCTGTCTTCTCCCCACTACTGCTGCTAGTGCTGGAATGCAGCTTCCTTCGCCTGATTAGCTCTGTCTGTCAGTGGGTGAGTGAGTGCCTCTCCTGTAATCAGTAACCGGAGCTGGTGTTGAAGACATGCCTCATCCCTCCTGCCCACATTGCTGTTGGACGAGGGGGGAGCAGCACTGCACTGAGAGCCCTGGTAGTGCTCTTTGGGAGGGATGAAAGCCTGTCCTCACCAGGGAACCTCTTCCTCTGTGGGCTTACATTAACCAAAAAACCTGTGAGAGTACTGATGCAGACATCACTAAGATCCATGGATCAGGTGAGAGGCTGAGTTCCCTTTTGCATAGCTTCTGCTTGGAACAAGGAGTTGGTGGCAGTGCCCAGGGTATAGAGCAGCCTGAGTACTGAACAACCAGAGGTCAGTAGGTCTTGCCAGCAGCTTTACCGTTAGTGCTGGAGCAAGACCTAGCCATAACGTGAGCAACTGCAGTTGTATCGCTGAAAGTTTTATTATGCACCTCCTGCACTTCCTGTTCTACTTGTACTTTTCACAAAGGAGATTTCCTCTTGCCATCAGATACGGCACCTGCATGTGGCCTGAGGTGACATGGTTTGAGTTTGCCTGGAAGTGGCTGGCTCTCCAATTCCCATCTGTACAAGGGACACAAACTGGCTGTCCTAGCTGAAATCATTTGGCTGCTTATACTGAAAAGTGTGAAGAAAGGCTCAGATTGTGCTATGTTTTATTAGGCACATCAGGCTCCTGGTGCTCCAGGCAGGTTTGAACAACACGCCCAGCCAGGTGAATGCATTAAGACCTGGTGGCCCAGTGTGGCCCGTGTGCTAGCAGACAGCCGCTGGCTGCCTGTGGGCAGGAGCACACTCAGCTGCTGCTGCCGTTGCTGAGCCTTCCTAGCAAGGGGCTGTGTTGGCAGAAGAGATGCTGCTGCATGGCAGGGCCAAGCCCAGGACCCCCAGCTGACATGCCACATGTGGGACTGTTTCCAGCACATTGGGGGATCCTGGCTCTTGCGCTCCAAGTGACAGGCACACGCAGCCCTGCTCTCCCAGCTCCCTCTGCTCTGCGCCACCATTGTTCCCGCTGCTGTTTTCTGGAATTAATGCTTTCTTCCCTTTACAAGCTGCCTTTCTGCCCACTGCCAGTTTTCAGTTCCTGCTTTGATGTTAGCAGAAGTCAAGCACTTGAGTTGTTTCTGGCCAGCATCTTTTCAGTTTAGAGATGGGGTCTTCTGCATTTCCAGAGTCCCAAAGAGCACCAGCACAGTTTACCACGCGTGGTCCTGTTCCTCATACTGGTGTACCCTTTGCAGTGTTCAGGTAACAGTGTCACTGGAAGCAGAGGAAGTCAAAAACTTCTTTGGAACACAGGTTATGAGATCTGCCTGAACTTTGTTTAGCAGCTTTAACTGTCATTATTCCTGTGCACTGAGGGGATGGAACTGGCTTGTAAATGCACAGTAGCAGCAAGAAAGATATTTCCAAAATGTGCTGAAGATCTAGAGAGGGAACTTCAGTCCCTCAGACCTCTCGACAGCAGGCTGCATGCATGTCATGACCGGGGCTGTCAGCGCCACACAGCAGTCAGGGCTCACAGATGCTTGTCCTAGGCAGGACAGGGCAGAACAAGCAGCAGATGACAGGAGAGCTACATGCACACTGCACATGTTGTGTAAATCAGTGCTTTGCAGGCAGGTGTCCATGGTTTTGCAGTGGGTAAACTGGACTTCAATACCTATGGCAGACCACCCTCAGCAGCCTCGTGAGGCTCTATAGGGAGGCTCCTATAGAGTGATTTTATCATGGTCCAGATCATTTTTAGAGCTCAGATTACCTGCTGACCACAGCACTGTGCTGGAGACCTAGACTCATTTACTGGGATTCTTGTGCTTGTGGGAGAGTTGGGGGAAAGTTGCTTTTCCCTGTTCTGCCTTGGTCTCCACAGGGAGACAAACTACTTGCTGCTTTCATTAAGTGCTTCAGTAGTACCAGGGCAGGTGAGTGATGGCAGATGCTGTGATCCTGGCTGAAGCCTGCTGCAGGGAACACATCTGGGTGGGCTGACACCAGCTATAGCAATCACTGCTCTGAAGTGCCCGCTGGGAGATGTGGCCATTTCACGCTTCACATTGTATTAGTGTAACCTTTAGCATGTGATTTCCTCTTGCTAGGGCCAGCAGAGGCAAGAGCCAGCTTTGATGGGGATGGTCTTGAGGCTTTTCAGCTGCATACACCCCCATGCATTTTCAGAGACTGCCCTTAGCACGGAGCTTTGTGCGTCTGCGACATGTTCTGCCACCATGTTCTCTGCCAGCTCTGTGCCCCAGCACTGTCAGTGCTACACTCTTGGACTCTTGCATGAAGTAGCTTGGGAGGGCACTCTAGCCGGCTACATCTGCCCAAGGGACCAGATATCACCATGCCAAAATAAAATTTCACCCAGCCCTTTAGGAGACCTTCTACATCAGGTACACAGGTCTGTCTCTGCTGACTGTGTTGGTTTTAGAAAAGAGAAGGCCCTTGGTCTGCAAGGGCTCTTCTGGTCTGCAGTGGGGTCTGTCTCCTTGGCAGAAGCCACTGCCCTGCCCTAACAGAGTCTTCCACAACATGAGGGACAAGAGCATGCTTGGGCAAGGTAGCTGCTGACTTCCTGTCTCTCCCATTTCCTTCCAGTCCTGGACGCACAACATCCAGCGGGAGAAGGAGTTCCTGAGGAAGCTGGTGAAAGCCAGAGTCATCACTGACCTAACCAGTGGGATTTGAGTGGCTGCAGCCACTGCCTCCAAGGGAGGAGATGAAGACATACGCTGCAGCTCTGGGAGCAGGCACTGGCAGCCCCCTGCAAGAATCTCACCTTGCTGAAGACACACAGAGGTGCCCAGGTGCTCTGGGAAGACCCTCTTGCATTGCCAGTCTGCACAAGGGTTGCATCTGCCATCTCCAGGCCTAGAGTTGGCAGGAGGTGGGCAAGGAGCTGAGTGGGCAATTCCTGAACTCTGCATCGCAGACAGATCTTCTGTGTCCTGAATTAGGAAAGACTCAGGAGAGAGAAGAAAGGTTTGTGAATAAAATGAATTGTGCCAAATGAGAGGTGATGCTGCCTCAAGGCAGCAATGCCTGAATGTACAAAGTATTATTTTTTAAAAGAAACTCTGCTGGAACCATACTAGAAATACCAAGGTGCAAGGCAAAGTCTGCTTGTGCACAGCCCTGCAAAAAGCCCAACCTCTTCATGCTCCATCTGTGTTGTCACCGGCCTGAGACCTTTCCCCAGGAAAACAAATCCATCCAAAACTTCAGTGTCATTGGTGCTGCTATAATTCAAAGGGAGAATAATGGCTTCCCCTCATTCTCCACTTGGAGCTTCTGGATGGACATGATCATGGGTTTGTTTTTCTGCATTTTTCCTTGCTTCAACAGAGGCAGCAACAGCAGCAGCCACTGACTTGGCTGTGTTTTCCATAGCCATTAGCTCTGCCTCTGCCCTGACCCCGAGGTGGAGCGGGGAGCCAATGGCTTTCTCTGCCTACAGCAGACCCTCCCCAACTCCCTGCCTGTCACGGCACAGAGGAGCCTGCCTCGTTGTGCTCAAGGCTTTCAGGCCTCTTGGTTTGTGCCTGCTGTGCAAGGCTGCCATGGAGTTCATGCATATTGGTGTCACCATTTCTGGACAGCATCTCACTTTGGTTTTGTGTGGGAGGGGAGTAATTTTTTCATTGCAAGGAGGTCAGATCGAGAGCAGACTGCTGAAGATGTTTGCTTTATGAACATACTCGATCATGTTCCCTATTTAAGTGACTTGTGACCTCAGTGATGATGGAGCCTGCTGGGAACCCTCACCTTCTGCTTGGCCCCTGCTCACTTAATTTCCAAACTCCTCTTGTGCTGCTCTAGCACTGCTGCTCCTCCTGCTCTCAGGAGCACATCCTTCCTTTGCCGTCTTGGTCCCAAGATGCAGTATTTGCACATTTGATTTGTATAAGTATTTCAGAGGAGCTGGAATAAACTGAGCAACATGGCCAAGTGTGAGGACAAGAAGGTGGTCTCAGACACCTGAAGAGCATGAGCAGAAAGGGGATCGCCAAGAGAATGAACAGTTACAGATGGAAATTGGCTCCTGTGCTCTCCTAGCCTGGAGCAGGCTGGACTGCACCCACAGGCACTGTCCAAGTCCCTGGGTATTGAGGCACCGACATGCAGCTGGCTAGTGCTGATATCAGTGGAGTGGGATCCTGGAGGGATGCAGGTTGGGCTCATGGTCCTGGCACTGTGTCCAGTGTAGCCCAGGGATTGCAGTGTGCCTTGCTCTGAGCTGAAGGGAGAACATGGCCCTAGCATGGACAAGGAATGCTCAGAACAGGGCTCACATGGCTCCCCTGGGCCACCTCTGTACCCTCTAACTTGCTGGGGGCTGTGATTTTGGAGCTGAGACCCTTAAGGGGGTGTGCAGGCGGGGCAGGCAGTGACCTGGGCAGAGGGAGCAAACTGTACAGAATGGCTTGAGACCAGGCTGCAGGCAGAGGCAGCTCTGAGGACATACAGCTGAGTGCTGCTTACAGACCGGTGTGTGATTCATCCCCGGGAGCCTCTCCTGCATGGTGTGCCTGTAGACAGAGACCTTGCTCAGGGGCAAGTCCTGTCCAGCTTCTGGTTGTGGCTGCTGCTTGCCTTGTCATCTGGAAGGAGCTTGAAGATCCTGCCTCTTCTGGGCTGCAGAAGACAGATGCTGAGGCTCTCCCTTCCTTTTCCTCTCCCCATGTCCTTTCCCTAGCCCTGTGGCCTCCCAACCAGACAGTCCCACTAGGATGCTCTGTAAGGTTTACGGTAGGTTTTTGAGCGTATGCTGTGGAAGATATTCCTTTGAATCATGTCCCCCAGTTTGTTTTTCCTTCTTAAGGAGCCTAAGGGACTGGATTTCCATGGCTCTCACCAGGTGACACTCCCTTTACAGTTGCTGTGTGTCAGCCTGGATTTGGGACCATCATCTGTAGGGTCCCAGTCGTGCTGGCAGTGGGGGTGCTTGGGCTGGAGCTGGCTGAGGTTGTGGCTGAGGAAGGGTTGACACCTTTTCCTGGCTTGAACAGGGTCTTTAACCAGCTGCTGTGGGAGCCCTGGGGCAGGGATGGGTCATGGGCTGTATCCATATGCTACAGTAAGCTGAGATGGCAGAGACTGGGCAGCTCAGCCAGGAGGAAGGAGAGGGGTGAAGAGTCTTCAGTGTGTGTGCTGGTTTCCTTTCCACCCATCAAGGGAAGCACCATGGAGGCTTATGATGGCATTAATTTGATTTATACTGGTTTATGAAACACTACAAAGCTGTGGGGTACTTTTATCTTCCAACCCACTGACTCCTGGTTCAGGGACAGAGCATGGCCACTGCTCAGCCTTCCCTCTCATCCCAGCTCTCCACCACAGCCAGGGACAGGTCCTGATGGGAAGTTGATCCTGCAGACCAGGGAGATGACTCCAAGCCCTTCCCTCCACCTTGGTGGGTCTCCAGGCAGAAGTGCCGCGGCACCTGTGGTGGGTCAGGACTGCCTGCAAGTAGAAGGAAAGATAGTTTGGGGCCCAAGGCTCCCCTCTAGCTCACTGACCATGGATCAGCCCCACGGCCAGGCAATGGGGTGTGCACCCCAGCCTCAGCAGCAGTGTGCAGCACTGATTTTCATTCCTGGATGTCGTTCCTTTGGCTGCCTCCACACGTGCACCTGCAGCCACCTCCCGCCCTCCAAAACGCTGCAGTCCTGCCAGCTCCGAGCGGTGCACACGGGTCAGAGCAGGGTCAGTGGGACGGATATGAGTCTTGGCCTCTCCCTTGCTGTGACTCACCTTGTCAGCTCGGAAGGGAGAGCCCAGGGGAATTCTCCACAGCCTAAATATAGAGCGGGGTTGCCTGATGCCTCTGATGCGCTGCAGTGCAGAAAGGCCACTCGGGTGGCAGGGAACCTGCCTAGAGAGAGCCAGGGAAGGGCAGGGAGGTTGGAGACCAGTGCCCACAGTGGGTTTCACTCTGTCTGGTGCAGGGAGCAGGTCTGGGGAGTTGCAGGGCAGCCAGCAGGTGCTGCTCCAGGGAAGAGAGGCTGCCAGGGAGCTGCTTCTGCTGCACTGACCACACTGAGCGCAGGCTGCTCGTGCATTTGTGGCATTACGCCCTCCACATTGCCCACCACCCTGGCATCAGGCTCCTGCCACCAGCTCGCCCCATTAGGGTTGGCCATGCTGTGGCCTCAAGCTGGTATGTGCCCAAGGGAAGCACTGTGACCAGGGGGCGTGAGAGGCAGCAGCAGGATCCAGCCCAGCATTGCTGGGCTTCCAGCATCTCCTTTCCTCTGAGGGAGCAGTGGGGAGGCCATGCCTGGCCATGCTGCATTGCCCCTCAGTGTGGGCACTGCTGGGAGTAAGGGAAGGTGTCAGGACAGGGCTGTCTGTATCAAATGGGGGCAGTTGGGCTGGGTATGGGCAGCACTGGACACAGGCAAGGGCTTCCAGAGTGCCTGGTAGGAGGCGACCACCACTCCGAGCTCCACCGGCACCAGCATGGCATGTGCCATCGGTCCAAATGTGCGTCACTCGCAGTGTTAGAGACGTGTCCTTCAGTGTGGGAGACTCCTTTGGGGTTACTGCCCAGTGCCTCTGGGCTCTGGCTCCTCGCACAGCCTGCACGGGGACTCACAAAGGCCAGTGCATTCACCGGTACTGTACCAAGCTGAGATGCAAGAACTCAATGAGTTTTTAAAATTAGTTTTAGTTTCTGCATATTTTTTTAATTTCCCCTCTAGGCAGGGAGAAAAAAGGAAAGAGTCTTGCAGGCTCCTCCAAGCCAGCTTATGTCACATCAATTCAGTCATATCACAGAAGCAATAAAGCTATCAAACAAGCTTGGCTGGCCTCTTTCTTCTGCTGCCTTGGGCCTTTTTTACGGGAGGCAGAGGGATTCCCCTGCTTGGGCTGTCCCCAGCCTGCTGTCACTGCTAACTACTCCAGCACGGTAATCCAGCTGCCAAGAGCTGCAGCTGGATGCCACTGGCGTGGTACTGAGGACAGGAGAGGACTGTGCTCCTCCTTGCAGGTGACCTGAGGGGTGGAAGAGGGGCTCACAGGTTGGGTTCATTCCATGGTGAAAGGGAGAGGCGTCGGAGCTTGTCCTGCCTGGTACAGGTTGCCCATGCCTCTGGCTGCTCTCTCGGGGACTCCCTGCCAGCAGGGTGACTTCCTGCCAAGGGTCACAGCAGCAGTTGGGCTGGGTGCGGCCCTGACAAAGGCAGGTGTCCGGCCAAGTGACCTTCTCACTGCAGTGTCCAGGAAGGAAGCTGTTTAGGAAGCTGGGGGCTGAGGCCGTGACTGGCTCTGACACCTGCCAAGTCCCAGCGGGAGGAGCGTAACCCCTGTAGCAAACCCCAGCAATGCTGCTGGGCTGCTGTAGCCATGGGATGTGTTGGGGATGGTCTCATCACCCAGAGGAATGGGAAGGCTGCTTCAGGTAGGTTACTGATCTGCCAGACATCCCAGCTGCTAAATGCAAGGAGTGGATTGTTGCCAACACCATCAGGACACGGCAGAGACAACAGCCCAACCCTCCCTGTTGTGTAGCTGCAAGTTTCAGATCCCTCCTAGAAAGGAGATGCTGGAATTGCTCAAACCCTCCTTCCCTCCCTCCTCTCTTCTCAGCACTTCAAGAGCAGGGCCACCACTGCCATCTGGCTGGGCCAGCCCCAGGGGTGGCCCACGCCCTGTCCTAGCCTTGGGAGGACACAGGAACGTTAGGTCAGCAGAGAAGATTTGTTCAGAGGTATCCCCAAAAGAGCCACGGTACTGCTGAGATGGCCTGTGT